GCTGCTTGTGCTACACCCGGGTGTGCATGGGAGAGGCCACACTGCAATCTGAGGCCAGTTGCCACCAGTACTGGGCCTGGGGCAGGTCGACAAAAGGCACCAGGCACCCCAAGACCTGCCACCACCTGCCAGCTGCCTGACAGGCTCAACCACTGAAAGAGTCTCAGGTGGTATGTGAGCTGAGTGAGGCAGGTCTAAGGGAGTCACCACTGTGGGACAAGTGGTGTTCACCAGGTTAATGCAGATTCAGATTCGGACGTGATGGGGGAGGGCTCAACACAGGAAAGATGGCACCCATTGGCCACGCCAACACAGGGACAAGGGCAGTCATCCCTCCAGCCCTTGCCCTGAAGCCACATAATTCAGTTTCTTCCTATACATCCCTGACACCGTCCCAGCTTGACCAGGATTCCTCAGGAGTTTTTTAAGAAAGACTGCAAGAGGGCCCAGCCTGGCTGGCACCGAAAGGGTCTCAAGTCTCAAACAAAGCGTGATTTGGCTGGGGCAGGGTCTCAGGGAGTTGTCAGGATGGAGCTAGTGAAGTTCACTGGGCTAATTGCATCCCTTTTCAAATGTTTGCTATATTTACTTAAATGAGATCATGTTTATGAAAACTCTTTGGAAACCATAAAATCCTATATAAATATTCTTTAATAAAAATCTATGGGAGTTTTGTCCTTAATTTTTACAGGGATCAATTTAGACTTATCTACAAAACAAAACACAACAAAACAAAAACCTAAAATGCTTTTCATTTGTAAATGGCTCTCGATTGATTTTTATCCCCTGGGGAGCCATAGCCTCCAACATTAGAAGGGAGATTTCAAAAGACCTTCACATCTGAATGGGTGATCTATTCCCTTCCCTAGAAATGATCGCTGTCCTTGGAGATGCAAAACAAATAGGGAATAAAAGGCCAGCACAACCACACCCTGGTAATAAAGTAGATCATCTACTAAAAAAAAAAAGAGAGAGTTTAACAAGCAAATCAACTCTGCAAATATTTAAGAAATGGTCATCTTTTCAAGAAGTCTTAGCATCATTTTAGTAATACCCAGCTTTCTAACCTCCATTACCCATTAAAGCAGAATCTGCTAGATTCCTTCTGAGAATGTTTAAGAATTCTATTATGGTACTTCAAAGTTAATGAGAAAATTCACATTTATTGAATGCTCACTCTGAGCTAGGAACTGTGTTAAGCACATTATATACCTCAAATACCTCTTACGGAGGGCTTGATCGCTCCCATTTTACAGATGAGGGCGCTGAGGGTCAAGGGGTTTGCCCAAAGTCACCCAGCGATGGGTGCAATCACAGGGATAACTCGGTGATAAAGCCAGATTCTGAAAGTAGGTCTCATAGACACTGGCACCCTAATTACATTTGTCAGGGTTTCATCGGGAACACGTTTTTGTTAATGCAGCTGAGCTGCTCTCAAATTATTCCATATTAGTGAGGCTGATCTATCACAATAAAAAGATGACTTTTATACAGCCCCCCTCCGGCCAACCTCCGGCTTCCTGTTTCAATAGGTTCGAGGATGAAAGAAATTTCTGTATCTGATGATTTTATCAATGCCCTGACGACTTTTGGGAGTCCTCAACTATCATGCCTTGGCTAACAGCAACTAATATTTTACAGTGCTTGCTCCTCGATTTGCAAAGTTTTCCCCACATATGTCATCCCCAACGAACCTCTGGGTTTCTCGCAGATTCTGCTAAAACCAGCAACAGATGGCGGTGACGATGCCGAGCTTGTATTGAACGTGGACGAAATGGTTTGACTTAAGGGTAGGCTCCACTCCTGTATTTTACTTTGCCCTAAATTCATTTTTGTTTCCTATTCCCTCTACATTTCCCGGTTCCAAACAGGATATTCTGATAGCATTTCCCACCAAACCAGAAACAGGAAGCACCTGAAAAGTCATGAGAAAAAGGCCCTTGTGCCAAACCAAAGACCAATTTTTTAAGAATTCAAAAGTCTGAGACATTTGGACGGGTGCCCACACACTTAGAGGCTTTCCGTAATTAAACCAACCTTGCTACGCTCTGAAGAGAGCACAGCGAACCCTCACGGGGCCTGCAATGAGGCCACAATTACAGAACAATGTGTGGTCTTCCTGGGTACTGTCACCTGAGTTTCCTCATCATCCTCCCCGCTCCTACCCCCGCCCCAAGAAGTAAATGCAATAGAGCCATCACCGCATCCAGTCCCACCGAGGGTCCAGCCACAGGCCTGTGGCCGCAAAGACAGAAGCAGCGACGAGCAGGTCTGAACAAGCATCCCACCCCTCCCGTGGTCTCTCTGCTATTCCCCAGGAAGTGAAACCCCTCCCCCTGACCTGCACCGGCCGCCATGCCCACCTGTGGACTCCCACCATTCTTCCTCTATGGGCCCCACCAGGCCGTAGACTCTACACGGGTCTCAGTTTTTCCAGTCGTAAAATAAAATAATTCTGCCCGAGTGCCAACTGGAACTTGGATGCAGCGCGGGCCCTTGGGGAGAGGCACCCGGCACGGGATTCTCCATCCCACGCACAGCTCTCTCACTTTTGAAACACTGTGTTCCCTCTCTGTTCTCCCCTATAGATGGGAAACTTCTTACTATCTGAGACTTGGGTTTTATCTATCAGGCACTGAGCACAGTATCTAACTTAATAAGCTTACACAGACTCTATTCCTAATAGACAAATTAGTCACTTCATGGTGATTTAACAAACACTTGCTTGGTATAAAAAAATAAAATTAGCCCATAATCTATAATAATAAAAGCATCATATGCTAATTAGACCAGACGACCTTCTGGATGAAGCCAGGGTCCCGGGTGCCAGAGGGAAGCTGGTGCCAGCAGCCGGGGAAAAGGCCTACTCTTGCACGAATTTCGTGCATCGGGCCTCTAGTATGGTATGTTAGCATACGAATACTTAGCATGTAGTACATCAGCACATACATGCCAGGCAGTGTTCTAAGAACGGACAAATATTAACTCAATCCTCATCACAGCCCTTTGAGGGGGGCTACGCGCAAAGACGTAAATAACTCAACTGAAGTCACACCATTAACACGTGCCACTGAACTCTGGCAGCCAGGTCCGAGTCTACGCTCTTGGCCACCAGGCTACTCTCCATTGTGTGGCATCTGAATAACAGAATGGAAAGAAAAACTTGGCCTTGAGGAAGCCACACCACATCTCTAGACCTCAACAAAGACGGGCTGGCCTACGTGATATTTGAAGGGTCACGTCAAACCCTACCCTACTTCCGTTGTTCTTAATCATGATGCGATCCCCACCCAGTGAGTAGAGAGCCTGCGTCACCGAATTTTTCCACATTAAGAGGAAATAATGGTTGCCTTCAGAGCCAATGTAGGTTTAGTGTAGACTACAACACAGGGAGGAAGATCCCCAAAACCAACAGAGCACAGACAAGAGCCCTAACTGAGGTCTGCGTGCCCCACCCTGCCGTTCTAGTCTTCTGGAGAAATCTGAGCTCCTGCCACCCCCGGCCTCTTATGGACCAAGAACCACAGAAATGTTCTGTTCAATCCCCAGTTGTTCTAAAAGGCAGCACTTCTACCTCAACACTCCGCACCCCAACCCCACCCTCTTACTGCTCCCGGTCCTCCTTCCCCCTGGGGACACACACACACACGCACACATATACACACACACAGACATGCTTCCATGTCCTAGCTCATTCTTTGATCCCGGAGGAATACACTGGGCAGGCAGAATACAGCTTTGACCCGTAATTTATGTATTTATACTACCTATCCCTCCCTCTTGACTGATTACAGTATCATCTATATTTCAGATGAAGTTTTTCTTCGATGGGGGCAATATAGCGATAAGCAGGGTCAGAGGTCAAAGTCCCTGTGTGGCCCCGCCAGCTGAGCAAATGCTGACATTGGGGAGAAGGCTCGTCCTCAGGGAAGGAGAGAGCCCGTGGCCCCTGCAGGGACCCTGCCAGCTGCTCTCCAGGGCCATGTCACCCAACACCCTGCTCAGGTCACCTGAGTCCCCATCAGGGCCTGGAGGGTCCTCCCTGAGGCAGGAAAGTGCAGGTGTCCAGCCAGCGTTTCTCAGCACCCTCTTTGGTGGCCGCAGAATTTGAAACCTGGGAAAACCCAGGGAGGCCCAAAGGAATGAGGACACGGGCGGGCGAGTTGAGACTTCTGTCCAAACAAACAAATCAGGGGGAGAATTAAAATACAACAGCCAGTCTTAGAGGGGAAACGGGTTCTAGCTCACTCAGAATCGGGCTCAGAAAACGTTGAGTGTGCAAGCTACACAACAGGAGAAAATGACAGCCTTTTCTGGATCCCTAAAGCCAAGTTCAACTCAACTAAACAACAGCTGACTCAGTGGGTCCCCCGGGGCCCAGCAGCCCCTGGGGAGCAGCTCTAACACGGGGCTGAGGGCGCACCCAATTCTCAGGCCTCCGACAGGGTGCACGGACCAGACAAGAGGGAAGTCAGACTTCTGATGTTATGAAACTGAATCCTGGGAAATCTCTGTCCCCTGCCTCCGGGCATTTGTCCAGGGGTGTGGCCAGGGGGACGTCAGGAGCCTCATGTCCATCCGAGAGCTCCACAGAACTGTGGAGACTCTCTGAGCCAACCTCTGAATTTTCAGGTGAGGAAACGGAGGCCCAGAGACAGAAAGCAAGTTCCCCAAGGTCACACAGCATCTGGCAGGACCAGGAAACCAAGAGTTCTATCCGGCACCTTGGCTGGGACTGGGTGAATTTTGATCTCAGAGACTTCATGAAGCGTGGCAAGCACCAGGGTCTCTGGGGCAGAGATGGGCAAGGCTGGGCAGGGCCCGGAACCGTGACCCCCTTCCCACCCTCCTCATTACCTGGGCAGGACCAAGAGGCCACCTGGGGACACAGTGCTGCCCTCCTGTTAGAGATTGGAAAGCTGGGGGAAGTGCTGGGTGGGGGGGGGGGGTGTTTAGGGCACCACATGGGTAGAGGGTGTGGGAGAACCCAGAGCGCTCACCTTCATAGCAAGGGATCAGCGTCCTGCCTTTGGCCTGGAGGTTGGACGGGATGATGTAACAGAAGCCATGGGGCAGGATGTGGTCTGTTTCGTAGAAGATGTTCTTCCAGCGGTGGGCACAGGCCTAAAGGACAGAGAGGGGTTCAGAGCAGGGAAGGGACTCCCCGGACCCTGGTAATCCGTCAGATCGCTCAGGAAACACCCTGCCCGCCAGCCTCTCCGCGCTTCATCCCTTCAGGCCGCCTGCCAGCGGGACCCCGGACAAGGCCACTCTCTGCCCAAAGGCAAAGAGGACACACTCAGGGGGACTGGACACCCGAGTTCGGCCACACAGGCCTCTTGCCTTGTGACATCAAACTACGTAAGACGATCTCGTTATTCCTTGTACCACAAGCCACCCTCATCCTCCCCACGTGGAACCGTTTCGTACCCATAGCCCATTTCTCAATAGCCAGAAACGATACGGGGCAAGGAGCTATAAACATGTATCGCTAAGCAGATCATCACTCTATTCCGCTTGGTAATTGATTTTTTTTGTATTTTAGTTCTGATTCAATGCTGATGGCTTGCAAACTTGAATCCCTCATCATCTTCGAAATTACCCAGTAAATCCGCTACATTTTAGTTTATGGATTGTGTAGAGCCGTTGGCAGCGAGGGTTTGGCCTGTCTTACTGTGTTTCTGGGTCGGAGGGACCGTGGAGAGAGGCGGATGTTTACTGAGGAGCACGCTGGCTCTCACCAGGAGGGACTTCTGCCCTAAGTGTCTAGTTTATTGCCCCCTCGTGTTTTTTTAAGAACCGTAAACTGTTTATGGAGGGATCTTAGAAAATTCCTCGAAGATCCAAACACTGCATTTCCCAGTAAACTGAACGAAAATTAAGGCATTCTGTTGAGGTCAGACAGCCAAGGGTCATAGGCAGTACGCGTGCAGGAAAAGTGTCTCCGAATATAAATTATAAAAAGAAAAGACTGTTTAGCCCCGATTATCATTATATATACACACATGTCAGTCTGACCCCAACATTTGAAAAAAGTCCTAGACTGTCTCCAAAGCATTAAGAACTCCATCAATCTCTCCAAACGGGCTCCGCTGTGAGGAAGGCGGGGGCAGAGGGAGGGAACAGGAAAGAGCATTCTCTGCAAACAGCAGGACCGTTCGGATCCACGTAATCCTAGCAAAGGGGAGGAGGGGCTGGCATCCCGCCTGACAATCTGACACATTTCAAATATAAAGATTGTCTTTCCTCCCAAAAGAATAAAAGGAAGAAGATGAGCATTTTAATTCAAAGGCCTTTTTTAACAGTGCATCCTTGCCGGGTGGGGGGAGTGTTGGGGAATGGGGGCGTTACTGAGCTTCTACGGGTGGCTCAGCCACAAAGACACCTAAGCTCCCACCTCTTGCACATGCATTTGTGAGACACAGACGGCCAGATTTTGGCCAGGCCCTCAGGTCTACCCCTGGATCGCTGAGAAGCATGGCTGAGGGGAACAGGGCCATGATGCTATAGACCCCCAACACACACACACACACAGACATCCCTCAAACCCCTCCAGGGGAAGAAGGAGTGGCCTCGGGGGGCACGGGGAAGGGGCCTCTGGGATGCAGGGCAAGTCCTTCTGAGAATGCCACCAAGTGAAAATGCATCAAGGTGTACACGGATTATCGGTGCAGTTTCCTGCACGTGTGTTAGAGCTCAACAGAAAAAGTTCACGTAAAAAAAATCAGGAAACGGAACAACAGAATTAAAAGAAAAAAAATAGCCACCCTGTGGCTTTGGGGGGAAAAAAGAAAGACAGATGACACATGTGAACAGACAGGGGCTGCCCCGACATTTGGGAAGGAAACGGCAAAGAGATAGAGCCGGAGAGCGTGCTTCCACCCAGAAGCCATCTACACCCTCTGGTGTGTTGTCCGAGCCCCGAAACCCATGGGAAGCAGACGCCAGCCGCACACTCTGAGCTGCCTCCCAGGCCCAGGAGGAGCGTCGGTGCCCGGGTTGTGTGTGTTGGCGGCTGTGGCAGAAGGGGATTTCCTTCCCTAGGTCTCAAACCGCCATCTGCACCCCGAGTGCGAGTGCGCGGGGTGAGGGTGTGGGGCGGGAAGGGGCTTGCCTCTGATCCCCAGGCTGTGGTCACACCCGGTACCGGGCATCCCGGGGGAAAAACTGGCAAGGACCACAACACCTGTGAGCTGAGCCTGGCAGATACTAAGCCAAGGGCAGCCCGGCAGCCCAGCCCAACATCCAAGGCCTTGCCAGGGCTGGCCCATGGGTCAGAAAATGCCACTTTTCATGGAGACACTGGGCTCTCTGTCACAGCTTCCAAACTCCCCATCTGTTCTTTACTTTGAAATCAGCATGATGCCATTAAACACACACACACACACACACACACACTTCAGCTCTCCCTCCTCAAACCCAGCCTCAGAATCCGATATTGTGCTCCTTAACATGGGTGTCAGGCCCACACCCCCAAGTATCACCTGAGTTCTCCAAACGTGTTGGAATAAGACATAGCTCCCTGGTTTCCATTTTAAGATAAATACCTGCCTCCAAGAAAGCTTTAGCAAGTAGACTGGAGACATTAAAGAACAGGCATTGACGTGCGAGAGACATGGGTTGCTTGCCTCCTGCATGGACCCCAACCAGGACCAGCGATCAAGCCTGCAACAGAGGTACGTGCCCTTGACAGGAATCAAACCCAGTAGCCTTCAGTCCCCGGGCTGATGCTCTATCCACTGTGCCACGCTGGCTAGGACTTGTGTTTCTGACAGGAAAAGCCACAAGGAAAAGGCTGCCATGGATGCCCCGCTCCTTCCTCAGCACCCGTGTGCAGTGGCTTACTGGATGGGGGGTGCGGTCGTTGTGTCACACATGAGAGGAACAGCTCCCCATGCAATGAATCAGAGGGACTGTCGTGGCACAGGGACCACAAACGCCCCAGGTCTGCCTTCACAGCTTCCTGTGCTAAATCGACCCTGTGATCCTCACTGCTGTGCAGGGCCCCTTCCTGATACTGACTTGCCGTAACGCACATGCCTCTGGCAACAAGCTCTCAGCCCCACGGAGGGTATCCTCCCATGGGGAGAGGGGATGCCATCACAGGAGCAACCTCCGGCGGTGGGCTCCGAGCTCCCTAGAGCG